GGAGAGGGATCGGTGAGTCACAACTGCGTCGACATTCCTGGTAATTGGCGAAGTTGACGCAGGCTTCGATCTTACAGTGACTATCTAGGGTCGCAGTACATTGGCCTGGTAGAGCATGTCGCGGACATGTACGGATTTGACCTCATGGAGTACGTGCGACCCACCGTTGAGGCGCTCGTGGCAGAGAAGGACCGTCATAAGCATCGAGCAGCAGCAGAGCTTGTATGCGGGGTGGTGCGTGGCAGCAAGGAGTGGTCGCAAGTAGATCAAAGAGAGCTTTGGAAGTGGCTCGACGTTTTGATTCCGAGGGTCTTTCGCGAGTGCACCCAAGACAGTCAGCCTGCCTGGCTCATGTTTGCTGAACAGGCGATGTCGGTCAGAGATCCACGTCGCACGCGCTCGCTCGTGCTATATGTGCTCAACACTGCAAAGGAAAAAGTCACGGACGGAGACAACCTTTTCAGTCCTTGGGAGCAGTCTTTTGCACACAAATTGCTGCATAGCGCTGCGGTATACCTCAATGCCCGCATGTCCGCTTGGGCGACCCCGGACCTGCTATCGCTCTACTCTCAGCACGGCATTGACTCCGAGTTCGAAGAAGTTCGTATGCAAGTGAGCTGGGTGCTGGCTCAACTCGACATGCTTCAAGCGCACCCCAGCTTCGGAAGTGTGCGACAATTATTGCAGGCATCGGGCGAAGGAAACGGCACGCTTTTGCGCCCTTCTGTCAATTTCAGGCAACGCCTAGACGGATTCGTGGCAAGGCTGCAGGAATCTCGCAAAGAGCGCAGACCCATGGCCCAAGGAGCTTCCAAGTACGATCACACTGCTCTCACAGTCATCACCTGGATCGCTTCCATCCTTAGCGACCATCGTCAGACGGCCCTGGACGAGGCCTTCATCGACTTTGCGCCGCATCTCTTCGACATGGTGGAGCTGCACGATAATCGAGAGCTCTCTTCTAGGGCACACGATGTCATCTACTGCTTGGCCACATTCAGTTGGCAAGGTGAAAACGCGATTCGGCTGGTATTGAAGCTACTTGAAGTCATTGACGGCGCCAAGGCCTCCTGGCACACGCGTATCGATGCCCTTCGCGTCGTCCAAGTGACAGTCTCTCAAAACTTGATCAGCCTAGGTAGACGGCCAGATGTCGTCGACCAGGTCGTAGAGCTGTTGTTGACCCTCCTTGGTGATGCACATCCCGAAGTCCGTGAAGAAGCCGCAACCACGCTGAGTGGCATTGTGCGAGGATCCCAACGCAAGCTCATCACGCAACTGCGCCACCGCTTTGTGGGCATTATCGCAAACGTGGGCCGCGTGCCCAAACGTGGGGATGCCGACTTCCAGGACAAGATCTTGAGACTGCATTCGGGAATTCTAGGAGTCACTGCCCTGCTTGGAGCCTTTCCGTATGAAGTTCCGAAATGGATGCCGGATCTCATTTGCGAAGCGCTCATCCCTCACGACGAGTCCCCTCCGCCCATTTCTACAACTGTGCGCAAGGCCGCGGCGGCTTTCAAGCGCTCGCATCAAGACACTTGGGAGATTGACAGAAGCGCATTCGGCGACCGACTCAATGAGATTGCAGAGTGGGTCCGTGGTTCCTCGAGCTACTTTGCTTAGGAGCGGACTCTATGCCAGGTAAGAAGAAACGAGGCTGCATAACATCAGAAAGCGGGGCCTTCGAGTCAGACAAACAACGATCAAGCTTTCGAAGAATATGTAACGCTTCAGCTAATGGTGCGCCATCCATGAAACTCATTGTGAGGCTAAGCGTGTGTTGGTTGAGCGGGCGGCTGTCCCACTGTCCGCGTCGGTCTGTGTGGGTCGTTGTGAGAGGCTTTGTACGACTCCCAAAGCTTATCGATAGTCTCGCTACC